ACGTAAACTAAAAGTAAAGTAACGGTAACGTACGTAGTAGTACGTAGTACGTACGTACCTAACTAACTAAGTAAGTAATATATATATATATATATATATATATATATATATATATATATATATATGGAAAAAACAAATAAACACTTGTCATCTATAATAAATAGTAATATAGGTGAAATCCCAGTCGTCAGATCTTCATTGAGTGGTTCAAAATACATATCACTATTTTAATTTTATTTTTTTTTCTATAAATCTGATTAAGATGAAATTTTGGGAGTATATACCTAACACTATTGTGCACCATATAAAAATGTAAAAAAAATATTTTCAATAATTTAAAAAGACCAAATTACCCCTATCATTTTTCAAGGGTATTTTGATCATTTATATTTTGAGAAATATTTTTTATATATTTTTTAATTAGTACACAAGTCTAAAGTTTCATTATGATCCAATTTTTAGAAAAAATATTAAAATTCATATAGTGATATGCAGTTTGAACCATATGATGAAGATCTAACAGTTGAAATTCCACCTCTATTACTATTCATTATAGCTGCCAAGTGCTCGAAAGGTTTACTATATATATATATATATATGATGATGATGATGATGAAATAATATAAGCTCAATGACCCAGATTGAATTTGAATTGATTTGACAGTCACAATTGTATTTTGTACTTGAATTTTAATTTTTTTTACAAATCAAAATCACATGAAGTTTGGGGTGTCCATTCTTTTCATCAAGGTGCACCTAACAAAAATAGTAAAAGAATAATTCGTAAAAAATTAATTAATGAAAATATTTATGAAAGTTTTAGATGTATTTTGATCCATTTAATTTTTTGTGAATTAAGTTTTTTGGTATTTTTATTAGATTCGTCTATGTTTTAAAAATAGATGTTTCAAATTTCAAGTGATTTGAATTTGTTAAAAAAAATATTTTTAATGTGAAATACAATTGTGACCTTTGGATTGATCCGTATTTAATCTAAGGCCATTGGACGTTTATAATCGGGACCATTGAAACTTTCCAGGAGCCAAGGTATTGGTGTTGGTGTTGGTGCTTCCTACTCAGGCGTTACTGTTAACAACATATAGCCATTTGACCTCTCAATTTCGAAAAATCTGCGATTTTTTCTTTTAATCTATACATTATATTAAACTCAAATTTGGTAGGTTCAGACTTCTACTATCACACGCCTATAAAACTATTTAAATAATAATAATAAAAATAATAAATAACCAAAGTTCATTGGGAATTGAACTATGATAATTATTTGTATCTACCAAATTTAAAATTAATCTAATTTACATAAAATAATAAAAAATAAAGTACACCATATACTTTTAAAAAATGGAACTTGAATGTATAGGACTATATGAATTCTGAAAATAAAACAAAGTTCTCTGTAATAATTGAAAATCGAAGAAAAAAGTCTTCATTCCAACTTTGCTAATAAACTTTCCAGATAAATTATGCACACAGGTTGCAAGATAAGCTCCTAGTTTATTTTCTCTAATATTTGATTGAAAATGTGCCCATCCTGGATATTAATTATTAGCGTGTCCACTGTACTTTGTGAATAATTTTCAGCCCTGTGAATAAAAGGATTGCCAATTAATCACTGGTTTTGTTTTTCCCATTGATTGACTCTTTGTTTCCACAAACGTTTGGCATGGTGTCTGACAATATTATGTTACTCATTTTTACCTGCGTTTTCCTCATGAAGTTGATCAATATCATGGAAGTTTGCACCAGAATGACACTAGCATGACAAGTTTATAGCAGTTGTAAATGTTTCCTGTCGCATTTTGGAATTCCATGACAAACTAAGCCAAGGTATTTTTTATTGGCAGGATGTATTAGATTTGGAATGGCAGCAAATTAGCTTACTCTGGCCCAATTCAAGACTAGCAGCGAGCAGCTCATTAGAGTTGTGATCATTGTGACTCACTGATGAATGAACTTGCAGTTGATGCTGGTCTAATGCAACTATAAATTGTGGGCAGTTGCATTAGACACTACTAGTAGACACGGCAGAAATCAGTATTGACTAAGGGTAGGGTGCAATAGTAAGAATTGAAAGGGTATAAATTGAAGGTCACTTGCAACACCTTATAAAAAGGAATCTAGCGCAGTCCAGGAAGGAAGGAAGTGTAACTATTGGAAACATGAGTAGATTAATTATCAATGAGCAGAGTTTCCAACATTACTTGGCAGAATAAATATTTATAACATGAGTTAGGTCTTTAAGAAACCCTTCTTAGTTACAAGAGTTTCTCTCATGCCAAACATAAATTCCACCCAGTCACGTTATTTCTAACTTTTGACTCATTTAATATTGACTCACAAGAATTAATGGTTTGAAGCCAAAAATCTCAATGTGGATGTCCCTTGCACCATATGAACCAATAAAAATCTGATCAGAAACCTATCTGCTATAAAATGTAGGAATTACATTGGCGACACCTCACATCTGCTACAAGATGTCGAATGTGTGGTGCGTACCACTTCACACGCTCCAGATGCTCAATTGAAACATCCCAGCAATAACCTGCACCCTCAAAATATTCAAACCAGTAAGGAGCAATGCAAGAAAATTCTAACCATATGGCCAGCCGTATATGAGGTTAGTACCTATAGAATCAGCAATGTCCTTTATTGATCTTACTACATGTTCTGACCATGAGCCCTCCTCTACATCTTTGGCATTTCCATGCACATGCATTACACCGCCCTCAGGCCTGTATAATTACCCATGCATAAAATTTCTTTGGAAGGGAGAAACGTAGAAGTAACCTCGAAAAAATTATTTCAGTGTTCTTTGAATGGACATTTACACCAATAACAAGAAAGTAGCTTACAATGCCAATAAAGGGAAGTTAGGCAGAATGCCTCAAGCCATGCACCCTACATTCCTCGTAATGTAGCAAAAAAATGAAGATAAAACAAGTAACCTATCAATGTAGCCAAAGATAGTCTAATTTATGAAGTGCTCATATAAAAAATACACATAAGCTTAATCTTGTCTTGTTTTTTACTAAACAATGGCGAGAACAGTGTCTGTGAATGTTTCATGCATCTAATTTTGTATCTTTTTGTACAGTATGGATTCCTAGCCCTACGTATGAACCATTAAGCGTGGATTGTTGTTCCTTGAATCGGCCCAAGGAATTGGGGATAATTTAAAGGAGCAATCTTTTTTATAAAGATAATATTGCTCGAGTGTAACGGCACTATAAAGATATAGTATTATGCTCTAAAGGATAGAAATCTTTATCAGAATCTTATAAAGCACTAAAAAATGTGGGAGGAACTCAAACTTTATGATCTATCACATGTAAGCGCTCACTTGTCATCTTGAAATGGTAAAACACACACGCTCTCTACACGTTAACTACTTTCCTTCTTTTTTTTTTTTCATTCACAAAACCAGAAACCAAAGCCATAGATGAGATGTCCACCCCTTCTAAGTGGTTCTTTATTTCCTAAAAACCTCCTATTCCTTCCTAAAGATACCCACCTTACTAAAAGATAACTCCTAGCATCGATTATCAGCCCTATTTGTAAAAGATAAACTTCCTGACTGACAAAATGCCAAACTTCTAATTAAAAAGACAAAACTTCCTTAAAAGAACAATCAAAAGAACAACTGACTCTTTACTCACACCCTACCAAACCTCCACTATAATTCCAAAATAAATAAATAAATAAATAAATAAATACAAGTAAAACCCATGAAAATAAAAATAAAAATAAAATAAAAATATTGAATTATCCTTCTCTTGATCTGCATCAAACCCAACCAAAGTTGCTGGGATCTTGCAACCTTGGGGGCAATCTTGCTCTAGAATCTTACTCCCGCATTTTGGGAAATGGATTTTTAAAGGATATCGATTTTTAGATATCAGGTCTCAATCGCCACTATTAGGGATCTCGATCCATCTTAAAGACTAAGATAATGACCATAAAAATGATTTTCAAGCTAGCTAGCAATGCAACTATACTTCTCATACTGCATAGATTGCCAGTTATAAACAAAGAGATACCTACTTTAAAGAGTATGTACAGTCCTGGACTATACATACTGTATAAGGTTAGGAGCAAGTTCCTCAAAAGGCTGGGATTGAATTCCAGAAGCTCGAGACCAAAATCCCTACATTTTGGGATCTCGATCCCTAGCATATGTATCATATGGACAATGCTCCCAACCATAGGGATCTTCTAGCCTTTCACGATTCCCTCGCTCATGATCCATATCCCGCTCCCGACCCCAACAACTATGGACCCAACTCGAGGGTATTTCTTGCTGATTTGAATTTGAAGGATGACTTGGAGGCTGGTTTGGTCTATTGAGAGCTCAGATTTCCACATGCTCATGCCTGCTACCACATTACACTCATACAAAGTGACTCATCCCAGACATATTGACTCACTCTAGAACTTTGGGAGCAAGATAATAATAAGCTCGAGGAGTCTCACATTTTTGAGGTTGATTAACTATATACATCCAAGAATAAGTTTTCAGACATACACATTTGAGGAACACCTTTTTGCATGACTCTGAGAGACTCTTGATACCTTGTTTCTACCTTGGTTAAAGTCTTGTTCACAGATTCACAGATCCGAAGTTTTGAGGCTTTCTTCGAACTCTATAATTCATCGATCCTGTGTATATTTCTCTCCAACCCATATTAAACAAGTACAAACACAAACAAACGTATACAGACACCAGATGACCATAGAATTAGAAATGACGTGCACATATATGCAAATATATGAGAAACAACCAGAAAATACAAGAGACACAAATGTTTGTAAAGAAAGGATATCCACAGCTTTTGGAAAGGCATTATCATCGTCAAAATAAAGAATGATTTATAATTAACAACGTTACACGAAGCTTATTGTTTAAGCAACGAATATAGTACCTCAATGCCCTCACCGCAGTTGGCCAACCACTTTCACTGGTTGGAAGGAGACCAAGGCAAACACGATTAGCTATTCCCTGGCAAAAAAAGATGTCAAAAATAACTGAACTACAATAGGCCAAATGCCAAATAATGTGAGAAAAAACAAAAAATATTCTAAAAATGTGAAAATATTGTTAGAAGTGAGAGAAGGAAGAAATATTGTGGATAGTGAAGAAGAGAACAAGAGGGAGAGAGTGAATCTCGATACTGCAATTGTTGAATCTCAATTCTACAATTGTTGAATCTGGATTCCACATATAATGATATTCAATTCGATTCTTTTTAATCCAGATTCCTGAACATTAGGTACCGCAGTTCGTAGATGCAAGAAACCGCGCTTCTTGTTAAGACGTGAGAAGTCGTGGATGTAGGAATCTTGATTCTAATGGGGGTTGAAACTCAACCCCCTAGATTTATAAATCTCGATTGCCAAGTGGGTCGAAACTCGATTAGATATGAATCTTGATTCCAAACTGGTATGAATTTCGATTCCAAATGCGTTAGGAACTCGATTCCAAAGATGTCAGAATATTGATTCCATATATGAAGGACTCTCGATTCCAAATGGGTTGACTCCAAATAGGTCGAAGAAATTCAGTTCTAAAGAGATCAGAATCTCGATTCCACATATGTAGGGATCTCGATTCAATTTTTCTCAATTCCTATAAAGTACGAATCTAGTTTCCTACGATTCCCATTGTACAAACGTCGATTCCGAAAATAGGATTCTTCTAGGTAGTCGCAACTCCGCGATTTCAATTCCTAAAACGATTCAGAATCTCAAGCGTTTCCAACAACTATGGTTTGTACATACGATTAAGATGGCATTGAACATATTTACTATTTCAGAACAGTCCAATATATGAGACAATTACAAGTAATAAAGAATAAAAGAAATATAATAATCAAAGGGCCATAATACCCCTCAACACTATCCCTCAAGATGGTGCATGTACATATACCATGCCTGACTTTGATAACATGGTAAAGAATCGGTGCTTCCCAACTACCTTGGTGAGGGCATTGGCAAGCTGGTTTCTATGGAGGTTGAATAATCTCAGACCACCTTGCTTTTTTGGGTAGCTCAGTAATCGAACTTTAGATGTAGCTTTACTAACTTCAAACTGCTAATCACCCAAGCCCAAGCCTGAATCCTAATCTTAAACCACCATTATTCTAGTAGCGATGCAGTCATCATTAACAGCTTTTCATGAAAGGAATTTGTGGCTATGTAGGTACCTGCATGATTCTTGCAGAAGGCATAGGGATGAGAATTGAAACATCACTTACTAACACATGAAACTAAATTAGTTCACACACATTAGATGCAATGGAACAGTATTATGTTCTGTTGTAAAGCGAGCTACCAAAACTTCTCTCTTTCGTGTCACATGTCGTCAACATGAATGTGCAATATATTATGTAGAATGATAGCCGATTCAGCAATGAGTCGAATTTATATCAAAATTTCGAGATTTCCTATATAAAAGAACTCCTTTCCCAGGTGCTGACTTGCAGTACTGAAGAATGCGTATAACTGCAGCCCTCTGCAAAGTGCAAGAAGCACACACAAACTGGCTAAAAGAACTGACTGTGAACATGGTACCTATTCTCATAAAGGTAAAAAGAAGTCTCTTGATTAGATGATGATCGAAACTTGGTTTCTTCTAATGGCTGCATAATTGTATGATAAAGGTCTGACGCTTGCATCAATTGGAGTACCAATTGGCTTGATAACAACCCTATTAGTCTCCATAAGGAGGTCCAATATATGCCTGTGTTGGGAGATAAAAATGTCACAGCTGTTATTGGGTATTTTTGACTGACTTAGACCCTGACACGAATAAGGAAGGAGCCAGTCGCAACCTGGTCCCCCCGGTAACAAAAATGCCTACAGACTATATAAGCACTAATAAAATAAAGCTGTTTTTGGAAAAGTGGCGGAATGACCCAAAACTTGTAGCATTGTGCTTTGGGGTGCTTCAAGGATCCTCGCCAAATTTCAACCCAATCTGACACGTTTAAGACCGATTAGGACGAAATCTGGTCCGAAAATTCAGCTTCATCACTCTAAAACAGATCTCATAACTAGAGCCCTAAGTTCTACGCCTCAGATGAACACCAGACCACCACCATTAGATTCAGCAAGTCCGAAAACCCCTGTATACTAATTTTCAGCCCATTCGGATACTTCTAGACCCCCCTATGCCCAACTTAGCCAAAATAGGTAAGTTTTACACTATTCTAGTGAGGGGGTTGAATTTTGAATGGCCATATCTCTTTCATCCTAGACCTAATACCCAAATTTTAAGGCAAGGCTCGTCTTGTCGACGCACACGTTTTGATATAAAATTTGCCTCAAGATGATGAGTTGATGGGGAGAATTCGAAGAGAGAAGTTTGGCTGGAAAATGAATCGTTTGAAAAGAGAAAAAGGTGTTTGATCAAGTGGGCATATTTTGAGATCTCGATATCGGATAGTCATTGAAATGGATGCATTGCGATCGTGGGATGAAGACGAATAAGATGAGGTAAAATTTGAGCAAGATGAAGGGTTGGATTGTGCGCAATTTAAAGATGAAAATGACAAATTTTTCGGTCGCTGGAATCCCATTTTCCAGCGACTTTCCAAATTGGGAACAAGTTCAAATGACTATGAAATTTGATGATATTTGTCACAAAATGACCATGATGCGATCCTATCCGAGTTGTGATGAAGAAATTCGCCGGAGACACGACAGATTGGTCTACACGAAGAATTGAAAGTATCCATGTTCTTAAAGATGGCAGGAATTTTTATTGCCATCAAAAAGTGCGATTTGGGTGTCGACATGGATATCAAAAAACGGATTGTCCGAATGGCCATCAAAAGCCCCAAATTGCCTCTGAATGATGTCCATGGCTTAGGCCTTTTTCGAAGGGGACCAATTGGTCATTTCCTAAATTGGGGGGGGGGGGTACTTTGGTCATTTTTCACTAAAACGAAAATGTATTTTTAATTCAAGAAAATGGTATTTTTGGTAAATTTAAGCTACTTTTGAGCATCCACCCATGTTTTGGTGGATGCCTATAAATACATGTAAGCTTATTGTATAATGACTCTTGGCAAAATTGAGAAAATTTGAATGAAACTTCAATCTTTTGCCTCTATTCTTGAAGAGAGAGAATACTTTTGTTTAGATAGAATGCCCTTAGAGTTTCAAGCCTCTTACCTCACCTAGCCCACCAAAGGGTCTTAGCCCACCAAAAGGTCCACATCAAGGCAAGCTAAGCCGAGCACTTGAGCCTACCTAGGTGCACGATTCATTTTCTCTCTCTTCCCTTCTCTCTCCTTCTTTCTGTTCTCTCTCTCTCTCCTCCGCGTCATCATCTTTCTCACTCTAGCCTTCTCCAGCCCACGGTCTAAACTGCAAGCCCAATCTTCTCTCTCCTCTCTTCCTCTCGATCTCTTTCTCATTTCTCTCTCCCTCATCTCTTCCCCCTACTCTCGATCTTTCTCTCTCTCTCCATCATTTCTCTTTATCTCTTTCTCTTCTTTCTCTCGATCTCTGTCCCCTTTCTCTCGGTCCTACTCTCTTCTACTTTCTCTCTCCTCACCGAACCCTCTCTGTCCCTCTTATTTCCCCCCATTTTCTCGGTCTTTCTCTCCCTCCCTCATTTCTTCTATCTCCCTCGAACTCTCTCTCTTCTCCCATCACCGAACCCTCTCTCCCCCTCATCTCTATCTCTTTTTCTCTTCTTTCTCTCTTTCCCTCTTCTCTCCCCCTTCTCTCAGTCTTTCTCTCCCTCCCTCATTTCTCTCTATCTCCCTCAAACTCTCTTTTCTTATTTCCTCTTTCTTCTCTCCTCACCAAACCCTCTCTCTCCCTCATCTCTATCTCTCTCTCTCTCTCTTCCCTCTCGGGCCTGCAGTCTAGGCTGCAGGCCAATCACTCTCTCCCCTATCTTACTCTCTCTTCTCTCTCTTAATCCTCTTAGGCCCGCAGCCTAGACTGCAGGCCCAACACTCCCTCCCCTCTCTTACTCTATCCTCTCTCTCTCTTTACCCTCTCGAGCCACAGTCTAGGCTGCGAGCCCATCACTCTCTTCCCCCTCTTACTCTCTCCCCTCTCTCTCCTAACCCTCTTGAGCTCGTAGTCTAGGATGTGGGACCAGCACTCTCTCTCCTCTCTTCTCTCACTCTCGAGATCTTTCTTCTTCTCCTCTCTTCCTCTCGGTTCATCTTTCTCTCTCCCGTAAACTCCCTTACCCAATCTCTCTCCCCCCAAATCTCTTCTCTCTCTCTCTCTCACGACCAGCAGCTGCTTGCTTCTTTCTCTTTATCTTTCTCTCTCTCTCTCTCTCTCTATCTCTCCCAGCTCTCTACTTATTCTCCACTCTCTCCCCAAATCTCTTCTTTCTCTCACTCTCTCCCCGCTTGTCCTCTTCTCTCTTTCATGGGGAAGCAATCTGCTGCCCCCTTTTTCTCTCTCTCCTTCCCCCAAATCTCTTTTCTCTCTCACCCTTACACGCCTCTCTCCCCTCTCGTCCTCTTCTCTCTTTCAAGGGGCAGGCTGCTGTCCCCTCAAAAACTTTTCTTTCCCCCAAATCTCTTTTCTCTCTCTCCCTCTCTAAGACCCTCACGGGCCCGAAGGCCCAGCTCTTTCTCCCCTCTTCATTCTTCTCTCTTTTTCTCACCCTATCTACTCTCTCTCTCTATTCTAATATCGGGCCTGCAGGCCCAGCCACTCTTTCTCTCTCCCTCACCCGAAATTCTCCTTCTCTCCCTCTCGGTTGCCCCTTCTCTCCCATGAACCATTCTCTCTCTCATCTAATTTCTATCTTTCTCTCCCTCTCTCTTCTCGCCTCCCCATCTCTCTCGCTCGGGCAGCAGCCCTGCTGCGCCCCAATTACTCTCTCTCTCTCTCTCGCTCATTCTTCTTCTCTCTCCCTCGTGAAAACTCTCTTCTTTCTGCCGCCCGAACTCTCTTCTCCACTCTCTATCTCTCTCGCTCGGGCAGCAGCCCTGCTGCTGCTCCAATTACTCTCTCTCTCCC